TGAAAATGGGGTCAAGGCTAGAGGTCGAATGGGACACGATATTTAGATGCAAACTATAACGTAATAGTTTGAATGCCCACATAGCTGTGCCATTTCCTAAATGTTACCAATATAAACATAGGCAGCAAAATTTTAAACAAAGTTGTAAAAACAAAGGACATTTTATGAAAATTTGAGCTTGAAAAGGTCTAAGGGCCATAGTCAAATATTTAGAATCGTCATATCATCCTATATGTCTGTGTTGTCAATACAAACAGTGGCAGTAATAAAAAGTTTAAAAACAGCTCTATATGGCCTTTTATTATCATTTTGACCTTCAGATCAATCTACTAACCCTGAAGGAGAAGTCAGAGGTCAGCTACACAATATATACCATACTCGTAAGGAAATTGATAAGTTAGGCACCGCTGAATGACACAGGAAGTCATTCGTGCCTGTGGCTCTGTACAGTTCCTCCATCTAAAGCACGAGTACACACTGCAGTAGCTGCACACTGCCACATCCTCCACAGAGAAAATTACAGTCAGTATGATAAGACAGGCACATAAAAATCACTAAATCACTTAACCCTGAAGACCTTGGTGGGTGTAAGTTAAATTTGAATGGACTGTTAACATGATCCCACTCTACACTCCTTCAAACTTTTATCAGAATTCATACAAAACTTTGAAGTATTGTATTTACAAATGGAAAAAAAACTAACACCATTAATCGAACACTGTTGTTAAATCCCCTAAATTAAAGCTGAAAGTCTGCACGTCCAACATGTTATTAATGTAAAACTTTAAAAATTGTCTCACTGTCCAAATATGTATGGCCCTGCCGGTATCTGGTTTTAAATCTACAGAAACGTTTAGACAACAATATAATCTGTCAACTTTTATACAAGTCCTTGCCGCTGCAATACTCCCACATGTTTGATTCCTCTATTCAAGTTAGTGTACAATACACATGTAAAACCCTTGGATATTATTTGGACAAAATAAATTTAGGTCCTCTATTTATATTTGCCTATATGTTGCCACTTCAGTTCTGGCAACATTCAATTATGGATTTAGATGGATTATAAACACAAACCTGGAAAGAGTCAATCCAGATAAGCAAGCAGGAATCCATATTTTTCATGTCCAGTGTTTTTAATCCTCAGGTTACAGGTAACAATATAGATATATATATGTAGATAGAGTAGATAACAAGGTTACAGCACTACTCAGTGGCTAATGTTCTGAACCATTACAACATTCAAGCTGGTTAGTAATACATTAAAAAGCCATGTTTCATAGGTATAATAGTTAGACCGTACATACACTAATTAGTATCAAGTGTACTCTGACTGATCTGTAATGCCCACACAAAAGAAGTTTAAAGGGACCGTAATGTTATTTATATATTTTTTTAACTGTACAATTAAAAATGATCTTTAAGTAAATGCACATGTACAACTCATAGCAGAATTGGTAAAGCTTAAGAAAGTAGTATTCCAATGCATGTATTCATGAAAAGAAGTTAATACCACATGAATCAATGTGCAAGAGAGACCGAAGATTTAAATTAAAACAGCTTTGAACCACTGGGCTAGAAACTTTTCATTAGCTAAAATTCCTCAATAGGGTAATGTTTGCAAATGAGTAGATTTTTTAATTAGGTATAATCTACACCAGCCAGTCCCCAAACCCCCGGGCCATGGACTTTGAGCGGCCCATGAGTC